TGTGTGTGTGTGTGTGTGTGTCTGTGTGTGTTTGTCTTCTCCATGTTCACACATTCCAGAGAAGCTGGGGTCTATTCTGGTCTCGTTATCAGAAGCACAGTCAGAGCTGCTGGATGCCTCCGTCTGTCTCACTGTGTCCTCGTGCTGATAAAACAAATTCAGAGTATTTTTATTCTCTTTTTAAAAACATACATCTCAGCTGCTCCTCTTGGATTTGGTTTTGATGTGAATCATCGACAGTTTGTTTAATCTTTGTTTCATATATTTTCTGTCTTCACAGCAGCTGTTTGTACATTCTTTCTTGAGATGATCATTTTTCCTGACATGTTGGGATCCATTGTGAGATCCCGTAAATTCTGAAAGTCTAAAATAATTTCCTGCAGCCATAACGATCACTGCTCTTCTTCTTCGGAGTCTGACCCTGACACGCTGCTGCTGCTTCTCCACATGAGAAACACAAACTCCAGAAAATGTCTGGAGCCGATTACACAGACAGAAATGTTAGATTTCGGGTTAATTACTGTGAATGAAATGAGTTTCTAGTTTTTCAAGAGTTGTTCAGATCTGAAAATGTGACGGAGCAACATGTAAACACAGTGTTTGATTTTTCCTGCAGGTCAAATACAAGGAAGCAGCAAAGAGAGAAGCCAGCAGCGCTCTGTTCCACCAGCTGCCTGAGACTCTGGAGACGCTGCATGTTAAAGAGGTTACCGAGCTGCAGAGCGAGGTGCACGCATCTATTATTCACTTTTCATCATGTTCACTCTTTGAGCATCAAAACACTTAAGAGGGATTCCTTTTCTCCGCTTGTCATCTAATATTTAGTCTTTCTAGTCATGAATGAGCGTCGAATGTGATCAGCTGAGTTTGAATCTGTTTGCTGCAGGAGGCTGAACGGCACTTTTTGAATTTCCAGATGTTCAGAGGTTTTAAACTTGAAGTTAAACTTGAGTCTGCGGCTGTTCCCTTCAGAACAAGTACAAGGAGAGCGGGAAGAGGTTGATGTCGTCCAGTTTGTACGCTCAGCTGCCGCAGACGGCCGAGACGCAGCTCGCCGCCAAGATGTCGGACCTGCAGAGTGAGGTAAACACGCCTGACGCTGACAGATCCCTGACGTGTGAATGAGCTTGAAGTCGTCTGTCTCAGTGTCCTCAGTCTCCGTGTCTTCCGCAGAGCAAATACAGAGAGGACGGGATCAGGAGCCTCGCTCAGAGCTTCTACTCTCAGCTGCCGGAGACGGCCGAGACCCAGCTCGCCAGAACGGTCTCTGAGCTGCAGAGCGGGGTGAGGAAAATGGAACTTCCTTGTGCAGATGGAGTTTAGTTTGAAAACTCCAGAACCAGGTTCTAGTCTGGACGAGCAGAAACTGATGTTTGGAGACGATGACTCACAACCTCTTGATGATTTAGTCTTTTGGTCCCGATGTAGCCTTCACTGATTCGTCAGGCTCCTGTCACATGACCTCCCTCAGGGAGAAAACACCCAGCCTCAGGGTTAAAACCGATATGACGCCAAAATGCTTCTAGGGAGAGACGCTGTTTTAAAACCTCGAGTCCCTGGATTGTCCATCCCTCAAATCGTGAATTGATTTTATTGTGCAAAGAAAACACGAGAACCGGAGAAACAGAATCAGCACAAAATCAAAAACGGCTCACTGACATGAGTTCAGTGACGACGACAGCTAACGCTCGATGTTTCCTTTAGGCCAAGTACAAGGAGGCGAGCAGGAAGGAGGCGAGCAGCTGTCTGTACCATCAGCTCCCTGAAACTCTGGAGACTCAGCATGCGAAGGAGGCGGCTGAGCTGCAGAGTCAGGTGGACACACACCAACACTCACACACTCACACAGTGCAACAACACATTTAATGCTCCGTACCACATTCTTCCATGTGTGAATGATCCTGTCGTCAGCTCAGTATCTGTTTCCTCCAGGTGAAGTACACAGAAGGGAAGAAAGAGCTGAGCACCAACCTGTACTCTCTGCTGCCGGAGACGGAGGAGATGAAGTTAGCGAAAGCCGCCATGGAGCTGCAGAGCGAGGTGGGTGGACGTCCTCATGCTGTCCTCACAGAACAGACTTCCTCTTCCTTTGGATGCTCATCTTCTTGTCTTGTTGCGTTTTGTCTCCCAGAACAAATACAAGCAGAAAGGCCGACAGGAGATCAGCAACAGTGTTTTCCATCAGATGCCAGAAACCAAAGAGATGGAGTTTGCGAAGCAGATGTCTGAACTTCAGAGTGAGGTCGTCTGAGTGTTTATCTGCAAGATGTTTGAATAAACCGACGATTAAAATACATTTCTGTGTATTCATTTGAGGTTGTGTGTGTTTTTATCGTCTCCCAGACCAAGTACAAGAAAGACAAAGAGGATCTGCCCAACTCTCTGTTCTCGCTGCTGCCGGAAACTCTGCACACTCAGTTTGTCAGAGAGATGAATGAGACGCACAGCGAGGTGGGAAATATTAAAAACCTCATTTATAACGGGAAGCGATGGAAGAGGAAAGCGTGTGTTGCTCCTGTTTGTGTCACGATGTGCAGGATTGTGTTTCAAGTATTGATCTACTGTTGTTGTGTTCTAATCTCAGAGCAAATACAAGGAGGCCGGTAAGAAGGAGCTGGAGAACAGTTTGTATTCTCTGCTGCCTGAGACCAAAGAAACTCAACATGCCAAGGAGCAAACTCAGCTGCACAGTGAGGTACAACAAACTTCATTCAATATGGGATCTGAGTGGCCGTGCCTCCGATGCGCTGCACAGTACAAGGTTTTGTGTTGTGTTGCAGAAAGCGTACAGGGAGGAGGGTAAGAAGGACGCCGGCTGCAGTCTGTACGCCCTGATGCCCCAAACCATCGAGACCGTCTTCGCTAAAGAGCAGAGCAAGACGCAGAGCGATGTGAGTCACGTCTTCTGTTTTAAAAGAGACATGAGATGTTTCACAATGTTAAAGAAACAGAACAATGATTCCTGGATCCTTCCAGCTGGTTTGCTGCTGATCTGTAGCGTTCGTACAAACTAACGCTCTAGCGCTCGTTCTCGGCCTGTTCCTCATCCGTCCACTGAGTTTCAGTCTGTTGTGCAGCGGGTGAGGAGAGAAGATGCTTCAGACACCAGAACCAACCACAGTCGGTATCATGTCATCGAGGCGTGAACACGGAGAGCAGCTGTGTTGTGTTCTACAGCCTGAGGACACAGACACTGACCTACTGCCTGCACACACACACACACACACACACACACACACACACACACACACACACACACACAGCGGTGTCTGGTTGATTCAGGCTCAAAACCTCTGAAAGAAACTCAGATGTTAACGAAGTGAAAGATTTTCTTTTCGTTATAAATGTCATTGTTACGCCCCCTCGCTCCCGGTGAATCCTGCAGAAGATCTCCTGCTGTGTTCTCACTTCGCCTCCTCCAGACTTTCTCTGGAGTTTTTCTGATGAGGGGCCTGGCCAGAGATTATCTGGAGTTCAGTGCAGGTTCGAAAGCAGCTTTGTTGAGGGTGCTGTGGATTCTCCACCTTCATCAAAGTCTGAAGTCAGGGTCACGATCAGACCCTGATGTGATCGCTCAGTTCACAGCTGAAACATAAACTCCATGAAGCAGCTGCGGAGGTGAAATCAAACATCTTGTGCAGCTTTGTCTCTTTTCACGCCGCAGACCACGCGGTTCACACGGGTCACCGTGCGCCGTCAATCGGCCCAGGGGGCAGATATTCAAAGGCTCGGGGGAAACTGGGGCACGATGCTTTCACGTCTGCTGACCGAGCAATGAGACGCTAACTGGAGCGTACAACACAACAGACTGTCCCACTGTCTGCACACCTCAGCACAACTGACCTCAGAGCGTTAAAACTCTTATTTCATTTATTTCATCAAGACTTTATTTGTTCTGTTGATCTGGAATTGGAGAAACAAGTAAT